ACCTTGAACATTTAAACTAGCCTTCCAAAGGAAACTACATTTTATGTGGTTTGCTTTCCTGGTTTAGAAACTGTTGGCTTTGCTTTTAAACTGCCCACATTTGATTAGGTGAATAAAGTCAACATTACAATATGTTTTGTATGTGCTGTTTCTTTATCAATTGTTAACTTAATTCAACCCAAACCAAATTTTCAGGCGTCAGAAGACATCACCATTTAGGCATAAGCTAACAATAATTTTTCACCCAAAAAGGATGTTTTGTGGAGTTAGTAATTCGATATCACCACCATGATATCCCTGCATGTAAAAACACGGGTATACAAGATATATATATATATTTAAGTCATAGACAGATAAATCTTAAAGACCACACAGCAAACAAAGTTTCAAAACACAAAACACTACACAAATGGGTAATAGATTCCACACATGCCTGAGTTAGTATACCTGCTCTCTATACCCTGAGCCCCCTCAAGAACTGAGAAGAATCCACAGAGAGAGGAAATAAACACACAGCGCACAAGAGTGCCACAGCATCACGGTGCACGTCGACGCACGGAACGCAAATACCACCCCCTGCTCGGCACCTGAAAGCGACTATGGGGGAAGAGAGGCGATCCAGTCAACTGGGGACTGCATCGGTGCAGAGCCCACAAACACTCCCTGTGGGCAGACTGACAGAGAGCCCCACACAGGAAGCTGTAAGGAATGGTAGGAGGCAACCAAAAAGCACAGACACAGGGTAAAATGCAAAAGCAGAGAATTTTAGACTGTGAGTCATAAAGATGGAGGGGAAAATAGGCTGGGAAAAGTTAAAGCAGGGAAAAAAAAACAAACCAAGGGAACACACATCGTAGGATTATCGGTTTCGAGACTGGCGACTCGCGTACCTGAGGTTGGAGCGAAGGCCTTGGTACGTGCTGGGCTTGCGGCTGGGCGTCCATGGGGAAGAGCAGCTGCGTCCTTTACGCCCCTGACAGACACAGAGTGGTTAACATTCCAGCAAGTCCCTCCCTAACCCCCACATCCAAGACGACGACGTATGTTCAGGTGCTTCCTGGGCAGACAAAATCGAGAACATGGACTGGTGTTGTTTCACAAAGAAAATGCAAAGTGACAGAGAGAAAAGCATCCAAAAATGTTAAACTTTTGCATTTGAACAACTCAAATGTGAATAATTCACCCTATTAAACTTACACACAAACTCAAGTTTTAGAAGTGTCAATACTTTATGTAACAAAAACAAGGTGTCCGAGATAGGAAATAAAAGGTTGATAAATATTAAATTTTACCTTCTAAAATTCAATTTACCAAGTTCTTTTTATCGTGATTATCAAAACATTCAGAGAATTTGGCAGGTTCCTTTTGCCAATGTTTATATTGGGTTTCTTCAGTCTTAAGTGGCTCTACCTTGGAAAGTAAAGAGAAGATGCTTCCCAGCAGCTTGCGTTCGAGATGCAATACAGCACAGAAAAGCCAGAGAAGCGCATTAAGTCGCATCGATTTACCATTTGATAACGAGCCTAATGAACACAAGTGTATGAACTGGCATTGAGCATCTGCAGGACTGATACCAGTTTAAATATTTCACATGCCCAAATTATGCTTTGCAGGCTAGTAAGCTGAGAGCAAAAGGACTCAAACACTGTCAAAAAATTGAAGAGACAAATGAAAGAGAGCCGCAGATTTTCCCAGGGATACCGCAATTAGCCGAACACATTGCTCGTGTCATTGAAAATTTGACACCAAATGGTCATTGGATTATGTACGTTTTAGTTTCAGCTACTCCAGGCTGGGTCTGTAACCATCAACTCTTGACCTATCGTGAGTCTGACTCACCCAGTCTACAACATGACCATATCCTTTACACAGTCATTGACTGAACTGGCTCGTTAAGGTAGCGCCTATAAATGAAAGGCTGTGAACCAATGGGAAGGCATAATGAGGAAAAGGTGCTGATTCAGCACAAATTGCAAACATCCTCCAGGACAGCATCAGGATGCTCTGAAAGTCTTAATGCAAAGCTGTCTTCACGGAAGATTCATAAAGCAGCAACAGAAAGGGCCCTCCATGGTAATATCTTGTCCTCGTCTTCTTAAGGTGACCTAAACAAATGACCACTAAATCAGGCAGGGTTTCTGCCTTGATTTTCTTTCGACTGCTGGGGTCTTCAAAAACCTAATAATTAAACAAATTTTGCAATCAACGCATTAAATGGGGTTTTCATGAATGTGAAGTTTGTTCATGGGCCACATTAATGAGATCAGAAACAACGATGCATAGAAAGTCATTAAATACTGGGCAACAAGCTTTCTGCTGTTTTTTTTAATGAATATACAGTAGGTGGCAGATATTTACAGGCTAGTTTTACAATTAACAGCTACACAACTAATGTGAAAATACAAAAAGTCTAAATCACCTACTACCATGAACCTAACTAACTCCTGACTTTTAAAAAAAAAAAAACTATGGAATTAAATAAGGTTGGAAGTTTAGGAATTAAAATCAGTATCATATTTCTCATTTCAGATACATTCAGCAGATTCCAGAAAACTTTTGTTAAGTTTGACTCAAACCGAATAAAACAACCCATTTGTCTAAGCCGGATCTCACCCAGACGCTTAACCACGACATGATTCATTAGCATAGTGTGCGACTTACTGACTGAAGATCCAGAACAGCGCTTTGGCACTCCACTCTCCTCGATCCCCGAGGAAACCAAAGGGAGCTGGACTGCCTTTATTTTACGTCCAACTTCCCCTCTTATGCATTATTAATTTCAAAGACAAGAGAAAGAAAGAGCGAACCTAACACTGGGACCCCAGCAGAAAGGTTTTGTAGCTAAACCAGTGGCACGATAATACCTTCCGCACAGCTCAGATTTCATTAGCAGGGGGCAGGGAGGCAAAAAAAAAAATGTAATTGAAAAAGGAATTAATCGATGAAATTTGACGTGCTGCGCGATTGGACCTTTAGGGTCTAGTCGTCTGAATCCTCACAATATCAACACGTGACTCAGAACTCAGCAAATCAAAGGAACCCGTTTCTTTTTCCTGAGCAGCGGGATGCAGGACGGGCTGCGCAAATGATTAAAAGGACCAGAAAAGTCTTTTGAATTCTCATGAAAGCGGGATCCACTATCTGATCATCCTGTCCCAACGCTCTTTCAATGGCGAAAGCCTTAACGATGGAAGGCCAGGGAAACGGAGGAGCCACCTTTGCTGGTGTCATCCAATTGCCGTTAAAATCATTAGTCTTGCACCATCAAAAATTTACCAAAGGCACTGGTTGCAAATCCAAACCAATATACGCATCTTCCATCTATGCAGAGATTTTTCAGTTCATTGCATTTCCATGATTTCGAAATCACATCTAACACCCTGACATGTCATATATGGGCCTTGCACAGAAAAATTAAGCCTAGCAATCAAATAACATGTCCAATAAACAAATAATTACAAAAGTGAAAACACACTAAAAGTGAACATCTTGTGCCATAACAAATTACATCACATTCCTGATTGAAGTAAACAAAAGAAATTTTATGGTAACAATTTTCGCGGCACTCCTGACAAGACCTTCAGCCGTCGTTGCTTCATAAAATCTGGCATGTTTCAATACGCCTTGACCCAGCATGAACGCAAGCGATGTTATTTCAATGTAATGAAATGGAGAAAAGGCAGATAATTACGACACACATCGTTAAAAACGTGGAACACTTATTTACTCGGTCATAAGTTTCTCATTGCAAGCTTAGCTGCCAGACGAATATTGATTTTCTTAAAACCATGTAAAATGGACTTTTGCACTCCCTTGAAGGCTTGTTGCCCAATGCCCCCACACGGTATAACAACGGTTTATTATATTGAGTGGAAACACCTATTTTGTTTTATTTCCAGCCTTAATTTTCACTAAATTTCAGTTTGTCGTGTTAAAACCCTAAGCGGTCTCCAGCATACAATTCCCATGGTATCCCATTGTGGCTGCACACCCTGTTTATATCTACTGTAGGAAGAAAACAACCATTTTTGTTAAACAATTAGGCCTAGACATCAACAGAAGTGATCATTAAGTGGCATCTCTGCTGCGACTGCATGACGCCCGTTTTAAAATCCTTCATAAGGGTTTCCTCATTTTGAGAGCTGTTACATCAGACGATCACCTGGCTTCTGACACGTTATTGGCCTTTGGGTCTCAGCTACTTTACCACCCAACCCAACTGTGGCCATGAGGCCGGTACTGCACATTTTCTGCTGCATTACACCCAAATATACCTGCCCAACCATATCTGTCCACAAGCCACACATGCCTGGGTCATCTTGGCCCGGGGAGATGGGGGCATGTTAGATTAAGCTAGTCTAGCAAGCTCTTCACAGGACATCAGCTGCAGCGTCTGTTTCTGCTGTATTTGTTTTTATTCCATGCCGCTAAGAATCACGGCATCACAGCCTTCAGAGGAAGGGCCCGTGCGCAGAAGCTGGCTTTGTGGCCAGGAACATAGGCCCCGAAGGCCGCTCCGAAACCGTCAGCCTAAACGCTCACGGAGGGTCTGACAGGACAATCTCTCCCACTGATCCCGCCAGTCGATGCTGACATCCCGTGTCTTTTACGCGCCATTCTGACAAACAGCTGCTTGTAGAAATGGTTTATAAAAAAAAATAAAAAATAAAAAGTGAGCCTCACACTGACGTTCTGCTCCAGGCTGGATGCTGCTTTGAATCTCAAGGATGTTCCTCAGAATAACCCCCCCCCACACACACACACACCCCCACCCACACAGAGTCCTTTTTCTTAATCGCTTTATTTGCATCAGAGCTGCTCTGACACATGGCCACAAAAGGTCTCTGGGTAATTAAACTCCGGCAGCGCAGAGCCCGACAACAGGGACTCTGCCTTCGGTTACGCTGTGTCCCTCCTCATCAGAAGGATTGTGCCTCAAACTCACACGAACAGGTCAAAGTGAAACAGGACAATTTCCCTGACCAGCCCCCCCCCCCCTCCACCCCCCACCCCAGCCAACACTGCCATGTTTCATTCGTGTCAAGTTTCTCGATACACCCAGGCAATGAATTTTAAGAGTATTATATTTCCTGAAGGTGATGACTAAAGGTGAAAGGTCAACCTGAAGCACTGTTGCACAGTGTTGCACTGCTGCAGTGTTGCACTGCTGCACAGTGTGACTCAGTAATTTGCCAGAAAACATGAACGCAACAACAACTGCATGCAAGGCTCTAACGCCAGTGGTGGTACACAACATCCCCGATGCCCGCAACATAGCATGTAATTCCCCAGGTGGCATGTTGACCACACGTGTCTATAAACATGTAGCAGCTGGTCCATTCTCTGAAACCCTGTCCTTTTCCCTCAAGGAAAGAGGTAACTGATAAGAAATTCACATGAAGTGATGAGCATTTCTAAGCAGTTAGGGCTTCCGATTATCACCCCCTGCCCCCCACACCCCTCCGTGAGTGAATCCAACAAGCAAATTATACCTACAGAGCTAACAGAAGGCCATCCAAGGTTGGGTGCCCACATCCAGCTAAAGTAGACCATTCAACACCACAAGCTTCATCCTTTCCAAATTTCAATACTGGTACTGGGGGGGGAAAAAAAATCAAAAATTAATAATATCAAATAACAGTGATTCCTCACATCACTGGCATGAAACTTCAACGTCAAATTAATATCAGTTTTAATAACTTTGGAAATGCTTGTAAAAATAAACAAAATAGTGCATCTTGAAAGCAGTAACACAATGCAAGTTTTTAAGCCAATCAGGGAAACAAAAAAGTGTATTTATTATCAGTCCATAAACAAAGTGGGCAGAGAGACGATGAAATCCAGAGGGAAACACCACAGCCTGCAGGCAGACAAACTGGCAGTCCGTGTCTCTCTATTTATAGGCCTGCTTTACATTCTTCCCTTTCATGTCTTCGAGGGTCATTATTATTTCACGCTGCGGCGCCGATTGCC